ACACACACACATACACTTCCTCCCATCAGCAGACACACACACATACACTTCCTGACCCAGATATCAACACACACACACACACACACCTCCTCACACACACACACACACACACACACACACACACACACGTTCTTTTCAAGGTTCTTTCTGGGGGCCAATATAATCTCAAGCACAATGTTTGATACCAATATATCTGTGTACAATGTTTGATACCAATATATCTGTGTACAATGTTTGATTGTTTGGGAAGGAATAGTTTGTGTGAAATCTTTCTTGGGAAAGTAAAGGAGTTAACCCAGGTATAAGATAAAAAGTGATTCTGAACTTGTATAGTTCCGAGGCTGTCACGCTCTGTTCAGAAGAAAAATACTTTTTCCCAGAACTCTGATTCGCTGCATTGGGCCCGACCCAAAGTGAATCCAACCAGTAAGAACACCTTAGGAGTCAAATGGGACGGAAGAGCCGACACACATTTCCGCCCCAAATATGTCCATATATACTGTTGTTTCTTCATGCAAAATGCTCCCTGTTTCTGACTGGCTGGTCCCGATATCTGTATCGCACGGCAGTGGAGCGGGGAGCCCGGAGTGCTGTGTTTCAGGGCACTCTGTATTTCGTATTGTGTTTTTTACTGTATTAAAATCAGATTATTGTTATAACTTTTATGCCGGTGTTTTGAACTCCTTCTTTTATTAAATCTGACCAGGCTCATCTAAAGGACGGCGCGGAGCAGAGGTGGGCTTTAAGCCACCACTATTGTGTCTGCTCCTACAGTACATAACAACTTTCCAGACAGAAATCAATCACTTCTATGTATCATCAGACAAAACAACTGTAAAGAGCAGAATTCCTGTTCATACTTGACATGTTATTTGACATGTAAAAGTAGATGAATTGTTAAGAGTTAGTAGAATAACAAAAGAGCAATGTATAATAATACCTGTAAGTGTATGTATATTTTTAGAAGGAGAAAAGCAAAGCCACAGGGATGGAAACTAAAGCTGAAGCCCAATGTAATATCAGTAGGAGCTTCATTTGTCAGTATGCAGTAGATATTACACAACATGCAAAAAGCTCTACTGCCATCTAGTGGGGGAACTTTATATAGGTAAAAGAAAAAAGCATTGATCTGTCTAGGATGATTGAATATTTAAGGACATAGTAGAGGGGTCAAACCATGCTTTATTTCATTGTATCTTGACAATCTGGGAGAGGTTGATCATTGTCAACATGTGCAGGCTTTTAGCATTTCTTCGGCGATGACAGAATATACAAATAAAAACCTCTGCCTTTTTGTAACAACTAACAAGAAATGCGTTTAATTTTTTTTTAAACAAAAATTAAAACAGAATTACAAATTGTTTCAGCTTTATATTGTTACAGGGTATATGCAGGAATCCTGAAGTCAAATGTAATACCTTTTAAGACCTTTTTTAAGACCCTTTCCATACATTTTAAGACCTCATCGCCACTTCGAGTTTTAACCGGTTACCTTGGCGACACACTTTACCTCACATTTACTATATACAGTATCGATTGTCCTTCCTCCTTATCTTCCAACCATTTGGACGCAAACTTGCATTTCCCCATAACGATGTTGCTTAGCAACCGGCGTAAACGGACCTTCGCTCGCTATCAAGCAGTGAGCGCGCGATGTCCTGTTCAGATGACGTCAAACCCAACGGGAGGCCATAAATAAACTACACAGAATCACACTACACACATACGCAGGTTCTGGACTGGGACAGCAAATCGGCCCTGGCATTTAGACCCAGACCGGCCCAAATCCATAAAACAAACAAATAGTAGCGGTTCCTGACAAGAAGAATAACTCAGTATAATTTAAAAAACCGCTATTATTATCCTTTTTACACACCATGGGCAAACTAAACTAATACATACAACAAGTATGTGTAACTATCAATCATTAGAAATTAGACCTTCAAACCCTCTCACAAAGCGAACAGTGACCGAGCAGGGGGGTCTGATGGTGGTGGAGGCGGGGAGGGAGCGGATCAACAGCTTGAGCAGCTGTCAACTCAACATTGTAAATAACCAACCAAAGACGATCACCGGTTCATCTTGTTTTTGGCGTGAGAATAGTTTGGGCAGCGTGAGAGCGTGAGATTGAGAGTGAAAGCGTGTGTCACACGCTAGATGCGTGAGAGTTGGCAACCCTGGTTTACCTGCTGCAGGTGGGGCCGACCAGTTATACAAGAGGGAGATAATAGCTGTACTTATTTTTTAATGAGCCACATGCCATGATGCACCAACTTCAGACTTCCTTACAGAGCCACTCCTCCAACACACACGAACGCGCACATGACCAATGAGGGCACGAGATAAGTTTGTGCACAGATGGAAGGCTGACAGGCAGGTAGGCCAACCCAAGTTCCCTTCAGCAAAAACACGTGGGTTTGCTATCCTGGCTCCAAAATGGTGGAATGAGCTCTCCATTGAAATCAAGACAGCAGAAAGCCTACACATCTTCCAGACTGAAAACTCATCTCTTTCGACTCCACTTCGAGAGATAGAATTACTAACAAAGCACTTATATACTAATAAAGGACTGGCTTATCTAAAGCCAGTTGAGTAGCACTTGAAATGTTTGGCTCTATGAAACCTGATGTACTTATATGATTCTGTTTTCTTCAAGGTTGTGTCTTCCTGGTGGAACGGACTTATTGTAAGTCGCTTTGGATAAAATCCTCAGCTAAATGCAATGTAATGTAATGTCTGGGGGGGTATGCCCCCCCCAGAAGAAAGGTTTTAAAAAATAACCCCTTAAATGATGACTTCTAGTGAATTTAGGGGGGGGGGGACCCTATAGTGCCCTGCCTCCCCTTTCTATGACAACACAATAGAGATAGGACCAGATGAGTCTACAGGATGAGTCGACGGCATCTTTTCTTGGGCTTGTTTCTCCCACAGATTGACCCTCTGATATGACTCCCTGATAAACACTGCTATGTCATTGATTAGGTTGAAAAGTGTTCCACATTCGATGACAGTTTGGGTAGTTTCAGCCAGGACAAGATTAAGAACATGAGCATAGCACCACACATGGACATGAGTGGGTGACTGGGAGGTCATCAGTGCAGAAAATCCTTTGTACCGGCCTTGCATATTGGATGCTCCATCTGTTGCATTACCTATACACATGCCCTTGTCCAGTTTCAGATGCTCTAAGACCTCTGAGAGCAAGTTCACAAAGTATTGTCCGGTGGATGCGTGGCACTTCACTAAAGCCACAAGCCTCTCTTGCACAGTCTCATTGACATATCTTAAGATTACTGAACACTGATCCTGAGAAGTTCTGTCTTGTGTTGTGTCCAGCTGAACAGAAAACATTCCAGCCTTCTGGACATCACTGGAGATACTTTCTTTGATTAGACTACCAACAGTTTCTATTATGGAGTTAACAGTAGTTTTGGAGAGTAGGGTGATGAGAGACCCTCTACCTTTTGTTCCACTGGATTGGTGCAATTTCTTGCTCTTCTCTACGCAATCATCCAGATGCTCTTTTAAGCAGACATCATACTTTCCTAATAAAAGGATGAGCTCCAAAAAGTTACCGTGGTCCACGGTGTTGTAAGCTAGCATATATGCTCCCTCATTCTCCACCTGCCTGCACTTTCACCACATCCACCACACGCTCCAAAACCTGACGTCTCTTTCGGACTTGTTCCCTATGAGCAGACATCTGACTGCCAGCAAACATGCTTTCGATGTCTGCTTTAGAGCATCGTAAGAAAAAAGCTTCAGCACAGGTTGAATGTGTAATGCTCTTTTCGTGCTCCTCTGTACGCTGGTGTGCGTGCCTCCAATCTGACATTCCAGTTATAAATGTGCCAGTGTCAGTCCTCTTCCCAAATGCCAGACATACAAAACAAAACAACATATGACGTCCCTTGCAATATGTAAGCCACTTTCTGCTGGTGCCATCTTTACAGGTGAATACCTTCTGCACAACTGGATTTCTGGTATGTTGTTGTGGGTGCTGTTCTAAAAAAATCTGTAACATAGATGGCTCGGGGCGGGCAAAGTAATCTATGTCCTCCTGCTCTTTGCTCTCCTCACTCTGGGGATGCTACCTGGCTCAACACAATGATACAGAATGAATGGATTCCCTGATAGAGGTCCATACAAATAGGCATTGACATAACAATACCATGGTTAATGGTCAAAACGACATGTGTGCCTCAATTTTTTATCTATTTCTATATTATTCATTCTATATATTGTCAATCAAAACTACCACAAAAAGCTGACTATACAAAGATTTTTCAGGTCCCAAAAGAGCACTGTTGCCCTTATAACCAAATAAGTAAATAAACAAAACAAGCTGCCAGCTGACAGTAATTGTTCATGAATGTTGGTTAACTTTCAATGAGACAACGTATCAGAGTCCCATTAAGCTATATTTTAACTTGCCAGCGAAAACCTAAAAAAGACAGCTTACTAGCTTGTAGGCTAAAGAATGTTTCTCTTATAATATTTGTCTTCTTAGTGCTTCATCAAAGGGATATTAATGGGTTCCAGAACTACAGAGTATCATAACCTTAATAATAATATTTTCCTAATTTTCTTAGCTTCTGCTTACCGCGAGTTCTCCTCGCTCTCCCCACTCGCGCTGATCTCTCTCCCTCATCTTCCTCACCACCAATATCGGCCACGGGTTAGAAGAAGATGGACCTGCACCTGTACTAAACACAGAGCTGCCAAATCTCACCCTTTGAGAGTGAGAGTCACGCAATTTAACCTCTTCACACGCCTCACGCCACACTTGCCATTTCACACGCTTGTTCCCCCCTCTCACTACTTTATAATTATTTTTTTATTTAATAATATATTTCCATAACTTGTTGCTTGAGGTTTGCCGTAGTTCGAGTCAGGGATAGGGTGAGCCCGCCCTATTCTGCCCACGATTGGCTGACCGAGAAAGGCACCACGTATACAAACCAATCAGAGGCAGCTTAGGGCGGGTCATTGCGTCTGGTCTCTATCTTTATATATACAGTCTATGGTCTCTATCCTATGAAGAACCCATTTTCATCTGAAGCGGGAGGTCAAACGGTAGGTAATCACTTCATTTTAATTTTACAAACACATAATATTTTTATTTGTATTAAGTCAACGGTGGGTCTGACTACGTGAGCGTTACACACGCTGCTGGTGAGCAGTGTGGCAGGTTGTTTAATAACAAACAACCGTGACTTATAGCCGTGTTAGTTAACATTTAAATCATCACGCGTGTGTGAGCGATGCTTGCTATGAGCTAAGGGAATTTACACTACTGTACCTGTGTTGTTTGCATTTCTGTCTAATAAAATATTCAATCAATCAAACAGTAACATGTAGCTATCTTTTAAGACTGGATCATTCATTCCTTAACTGTACTTCGATTTCTGTCTGATGTTTGTCTGTTAGTTTGAAAGTCTGAAAGATGTCAGATAAGAAGAAGAAGAAGAAGAAGAAGAAGCAGAGAGATCTGCTGTCATTCTGGGCAGTGGAGGGTCAACCACCCCCTGCCAAACTTGCCAGGTCAGAGGAAACAGTGGAGGAGGCTTTGGATCTATCAGTGAATGACAGAGCGGAGGAACATGAGTGTCCAAAGGGCACAGAGAATGAGACTGCAGAGGAGACAGAAGATGATGATGTAGAAGGGATTAAGGCTCCAGAGGACACAGAGGATGAGACAGAAGAGCCAGCAGAGGAAACGGTGGAGATGAGAGTAGAAACAGGGAAAAAGCAGAGTGTTAAAAGTGGAGCAGCCACCTACAGGTGCACTTTTAAAAGGGAGTGGACAGCAGAATGGCCATTCATCACTATAGGCACCACCACCTCCTACTATTGGTGCTCTATATGCAGACATGAGAACAGCTGTGCCCATCAAGGAAAGGCAGATGTCATCAGGCATATGAAAAGCAAAGGGCATCGTGCCAAAGAACAGGCAATACAGTCAACAACCACGATTGCACCGTATTATGCCCCAGTCTCTGTTGGTGGCATGACAGCACAAGAGGCCAAGGTATATATTATGAACAGTGGCAGTGGCTGAATTGCACTTGTAGGTTATATCAGCATAAATAATAGTAAATGAAACAAACTGTCACAAATGCCTTGTCTAACATGTTAATTTGGACTGTTTTTATTTATGTTTATTGTTGTATGTAATTGTGTGTTTCTAGGGACCTTGAGTCGGCAATAAATGCATTTATTCAATCCAAAAACACTTAATGTTTTATGGAATGTTTTTACATGATTTGCTCTTTGATGACCCCCTTTCTGTTGCAGACAAGGAGAGCTGAGGTAAAGGTGGCAGTGTCAATGGTCGAACACAATGTGCCGTTTGCAGTAGCAGATCACTTCAGCCCATTGCTAAAAGAATGCTTCAAAGATTCCCCTACTGCACAGAACTACAAGTGCGCCCGCACAAAAACATCGTGCATAATAAATGAAGCAGTGGCCTCACATTTTAGAAAGGAACTGGTCATGAAGATGAGGACCAATCCTTTCACATTAATCACAGATGGATCAAATGATACAGGTCATTACACTTTCCACACTTTCCAGCACCCATTTTAGATATATTATTAACCACAGAACACACAAACAATTTCAGTCTGATGTGTACCTTAATATGACATATATGTACCATATCGTTGCAGGAAGAGAGAAGATGAACCCACTCACTGTGCGGGTATATGACAGTTCCACCAGTAAAGTTGTCCACAGGTTTCTGGATATGTGCCCCACCAGCGGGCCAAGCTGCGGCACAGCTGAAGTGATATACCAGAAGATGGACGAGGCCTTGCAAAAAAAACGCCATACCATGGAGAAACTGTGTGAGTCTGTCTGTTGATAATGCACCTGTCAATACAGGAGCAAGAAATTCCATCGCATCCAGAATTCTTAAAGAACATGGCAGCATCTACATCCATGGGTGCCCCTGTCACGTCATCCACAACACTGCCAAACAGGCTGGCCTGGGCTTTTTGGAGGTGAGTTGAATCATGTATGATTTCTATGACCAACCGTATCCTTTATGCCTAATGTCAAGTCTAACAGGTTGTTTGTTATGCTGTGGTGTCATGTGATTATAAATCATCATGTATTGCAGGTGTGTGGATTTGATCCAGAGGATCTGACTGTGGATGTGGGATACTGGTTTAAAGGAAGCACCAATCGTAAAGGTTACCTGACAGGTATTTGCAGTCCAAATGAAATGCAGAAGAGTTAGATTAAATTGAAATTAAGATGTTCCATTCTTGTCATAGAATTCTGTGAGCTCCATGGAAGCGAGTATTTAGAAATACTTATGCACGTTTCCATTCGATGGTTGAGCCTGGAGAGGTGTTTGACTCGTATCCTGCAGCAGTATGAGCCACTGGCCAGCTACTTCAAGTCATCAGGTAGGCATTATATTTCAATGATCCAAATGAACGAACGATTATTATAACAGACTGAAAAGTAAATGTATGTAGTATGCACAACCTGTGTTTTTTTTATTCACAGATGAGAAACAACCAAGGTTCAGGAGGCTGTTGGAAGCATTCTCTAACCCAATGACAGAGGTGTACCTGCTGTTCTATCAAGCAACGTTGCCAGTCTTCTCCACCTTCAACCTCCTCCTCCAGAGAGAGAAGTCCTCCATCTTCCTTCTACATGATGAGGTAAATTGGGAAGGTTGGGATACAGTATGCTAGTAATAATGTACTATGTTTGTTCCTTTTTTCATTAGCACTCTACTTCTAGATTAAATTTAATTTTGAAAATCTTTTCTGAAATACAAATTTGTAGATACGGAGTTTCATCCGCAAGTTGCTTTCAAAGTTTCTGAAGCCCGCAGCACTGCAGCACCAGGAACTGCATGAAATCCTCTATAAGGACCCATCAAACCAACTGCCAGGTAATCCTCCAAGTTTCACATCAGCAGATGCACATACACTATCCACTCACTGATCTCACTCACATAATACTGTTTGTGTTTGTTAGAGGGCTGCTTGTGCAGACAAGTTATGAGTTTGATAATCTCATCTCATCACACACATAGGACCACAATGGAAACAAGTCCACAGGACTTTTTTATGTTATCCTTTTAGCCCAAATGAGTGACTGTACCTTGTGTCACTGATGTGATGAAGATACTTAAAGGGGTGCTTTCAAGTTAGCTATTGTGGTTGTTGATGATTGCTAAAGTGACTCAACACCGGTCTTATTCCCAGTCTCATACTGACATGTTGGTGTTGGGAATGAGAACATATTGCATCAATCTTTCTCCAGAATCGCATACAGCACCTTAATGACCTCTGTGACGTTGTTGATTTATTGTGTCTCTCATAGGAGAAAAGCTGGTGATCGGCTTCACTACTCGAGGTACACTCAACAGGCTCCTTGATGCAGGAGACATTACACCGCAGCAAGTGCAGAGGTTCCAGCAGGCAGCAGTGGCGTTTCTGGTGAGGGCTGTGGAGTATGCCATGAAGAAACTCCCCATGAGAGAGCCCCTCATAAAACATGCCATGTTTCTGGATGTCCAGCAGAGGGTAGAGTGTGGAGTGGAAGACGCCTTGTACTTTGTCGACAGGTTAGTTGGGGTATCAAGTCAAGTACATTTATCTATAGTGCCTATACAACACAAGTTATCTCAATATACTTAATAAGTAGAGCAGGTTAAAGACTGTTGGCTCTTGTCACATTTTCTTAACATTTTCTTAATAGATTGTAAAGTTTAATGACCACATCTGAAAAACAACCTGTTTCAGCTACATTACTTGACCAGATCAGTGCACATTGTGTTCTTTTTAGGTTTCCTGAACTTCTCCCATACAACGGACCTGACGAGCGTGACAAACTGGGTGAGGAGTTTCTGGACTACCAGTCCATGGACATTGCCATGCCCGAAGACCCAGCCACGTTCGACATAGAGAACTTTTGGGGGAACATGGCATCAATGAAGAATAAGGTAAGAATTATTCTGCACCCTTTGAAATACCCATTGACGTAATCAACTTAATTCTATACAAATATACTTGAGAGTAATTAGGCTTCCTACATTTTTCAAAGGTGACCGGGATGAGCAGATTTGGGAGGCTCTCTCGTATTGCCAAGTTGGTGTTGGTACTTCCGCATTCAAATGCTGATGCTGAACGAGTGTTCTCTGTGGTGGGACTGAACAAAACCAAAACAGTTTGGCTCTTGATGGAACTCTGTCATCCATCATGACTGTGAAGATGGCAAACCTTGAGCCAGTGTTTCAAATGGGAGCCCCCTCCCTCTGTCATCAAGGCATCAACATTGGCCACAAACACCTACAACATGAGACATGTCATGTAAAAGAAAAAAACATAAACAAAGACATGCACTTTATTTTTTTATAATATATATTATATATATATTATTCTGGTTCTAATGTTGTTACACTTAAAGAAAAAATGCACTAAAGGAAAAGGCTGCTATTGGTTCTTAAAAGGCTGATATTGTTTCATTATATTGACATTTTATAAATAAATGTATTTTATTTGTTAAACTTTTTCTTGTTACAATTGTTTTCATTTCTACTTGTGCTGGTCAATTATTAACACTATATAAGCATGAGGAGGCCGACAGTGCAGGGAGAGCAGCTGGCATGGGGGTGAAGACATCACAACAGTCTTAATGTTAATTTAAATTGAGATATTCCTCTAAATCAACGTTAAAAAAGGCCCAAAAAAATCGCCGTCGAACGCATCAACCCCAAAAGTCTCACTCCTACTTTTTACTGAAACTTGGTAGCCCTGTAAACATGTCGGTTATTGTTGGCACAAGCGGCAGCATCAGCAAAAGGGCCTGCTTTTTTCTTGCCCGCAATTTTTCTGCTCCCCCTTTTCGCTTGGCCTTCGCCATTTCTAACTCGAACTTTTTTTTTTCTCGAAAAAAAAGGCCGTTTGGCTTCAACGGCCGGCTCACCTCCTGGGGGCGTGATTTAATGATGCACACCGAGCGGCCAAAGGGGGAGGTGATTAAAGATTTGATTGGGCCGGCCCAGTGTCAATTACTAAAAACATTTAAACAGAGGGCCAATCTACCCGTCTTATGGGCCGGGACTTCAGAAAAAAAAAAAATGACGTGTCGGCCCAAAAGGCACGTCGGCTCACCGGGAAAATGCCCGGTATGCCAGATGGCCAGTCCAGCACCTACGCAATGATTACATTCAGGCAGACTGTAGAATACAACCTCGTTGGACAATTTATATACTTATTGAAAACAAGCTACAAAATGTAACACCTTGGAAAATGCCGTTCAATACTTTTTAATAGCCTTCATTTTCGCTAAATTGATTTATCAACTTTTAATACTTTTCAAGACTCAGCTGACTTTGAGGCTGGTGAGGAAACAGAGATGTTTTTGTTTCTTTCTAGTAAAATCATAACCATCTACTGATACTTTTCTATTATAGTAAGTAGTACTCTTTCATGATAGCACATTATATGTCTTATTATAAAAGTGGGTATGATAAAAACAGATAGAATTTCCACGTAAAGCACTGAGACAGAGTGTGTGTAACATCCATTTATTACCACCTTATATGACAAATCTGGAAATTACAAACATTGTTTAATTGAAACATTATTCTCAACATTTCAAAATAAGAAAATAAAAGACAAACAGGAAATCAAATTGAGCAAAAAAAAAAGACAAATTAAGTTAAAAGGTGACGAGTCAACCTGAGAAACGCAAACAGACGATCAAGTGAGGGGACGTGTGAAGAAAACACAACTTGTATTATTTGTCATTTAACACTGATTTACAGTAGTTTCACATTTTAATCAGCTGTTTTTTCATTCGTTTTTACACTTTGAGAACTTTTTAGTTTTTACTTTACAAACCTTCGTTATAAAAAGGTCCGTTGTTAGAAAATAAAACACTGCTACGAAAGTATTTGTTTGAGCAAACTTGAGCTTTGGCTTTAAATAATTAGATGAAACCAATTTGAACACCACAGAAACAGCTGACTCTTCTGTCAGCGTCTACAAGAGGATGGTGCCAACAGGAGTTCACATTTATCTAGAAAAAAACAAACAGTTCAAATCGGTTTTTGTTCTCTGTAGGTGTTTAATTCTGTTCCATCTCCACGTCATCAACAACTGGTTTTAAGTGGCAAAATAAATCCTGTGCATGACACTCATGTGGATGGAAAACATCAAACCTAACATGATGAATGAAAGCAATATGCTGATGCGTTGTATACAATATGCTGTGGTGATCAGAGCTCATGCACACACAGGGACAGATCATCCATCCTGACTGACGCCCTGCAGAGGATGGAGCGCAGGAGGAGAGGAGGGGGGAGCGTTCATGTAGCACCCTGCTGCAGAGAAGAGACCCCCAGCAGACACAGACCCATCTTCTCCTCCTCCTCTCTGTCCCTAGCGAATTTGCAATGTTCTCGATTTTTCTTCCGTATTCTATCCACAAAACATCCTTCACATCACATCGCGTCACAGACAGTGCAAACGGAGACGTGTGCTCCAGGAGACCTCATCACCAGAGAGTCGGTACATGCACAAAAAGAGAGTACCCTATAGTTCTGCTGCCGAGAGCACTATGAAAAACACGACTATACACTTTATCCATCATATAATCAGTTTCCCTCTACACACTACTAACACAGGGAGGGAGGGAGAGAGGGAGAGAGAGAGGGAGAGAGGGAGAGAGAGGGGGGCAGACTGGTGAAGGAAGGGCAGGAAGAGGTGAAAAGGAGAAAGACAAGGAGGAGTGTTTAGGCGCGCTCCCCGCGGATACGACGTGCCAGCTGGATGTCTTTGGGCATGATGGTGACACGTTTGGCGTGGATGGCGCACAGGTTGGTGTCCTCAAACAGACCCACCAGGTAGGCCTCGCTGGCCTCCTGCAGGGGGGGGGACAGGGATGTCAGTAGAGTAAAGATGATTGTGTTTTTGTCTTTTATGGTTATGGTTGATTTCATTAGTCCCTGCGACTAAAGCATGGAACCCAATGTACGTTACGTTTTTAAGTATAATAATCAAATAATAGTTTTTTTTCCTACATATTAACATTTCTCCTCAAGTGTAAGGAAAGAACTGTAACTACATCTTTACTTTTAGCAGAACATTGTATGATAGTAGTGCTTATATGGATAGACATGAATTTGTTCGACACTGTATATTTGTACGCCATTAATAGTGTTTTATAACACCGCTTTGTCTCTGGTTTAATATCCTCTCAATCATTAGCCAGTGGTCAAGTGTATGGATCTGGTTGTTTTTCTGACCTGCAGAGCTCCGATGGCAGCACTCTGGAAACGCAGATCGGTCTTGAAGTCCTGGGCGATTTCTCTCACCAGACGCTGGAAGGGCAGCTTGCGGATCAGCAGCTCAGTGGACTTCTGGTAACGACGGATCTCACGCAGAGCCACGGTACCGGGCCTTCACAACACATAAACGTGAAATTAAGTGAACTGTTATCTTTATTATGCCAAACACATTTAGATCAAATTATGTAAAGCAGTGTGTTTACAGTCTTGGGTTGAATACTTTCTTGCACCTAAAGATAATGTTGTTGATCTTTAAATATCATTCAGTCTCACCTGTAACGATGGGGCTTCTTGACTCCACCGGTGGAGGGGGCGCTCTTACGGGCAGCCTTTGTGGCCAGCTGCTTACGGGGGGCTTTGCCTCCAGTGGACTTACGGGCGGTCTGCTTGGTACGGGCCATGGCTACTAAAGATCACCTGAGGGCACAGGACAAAGTTGGCTTTGGTAAAGAAACTACAATGCATTTTTAAGGCACATGTGCAAAAGAATAGTGTGAAGGGGAGGGGATGGTCTAAAGGTGATACTTAATATCAGCTTTAGAGGGGGGGAATGAAAGATTACACATTTGTTTAGTATCCACATGTTAGGTTATTCCCATTTTATATATTCATCTATTTTTTTTGTTCAGTCTTTATCCCGTTTACTGAAAAAGACATTCAACATTTGGTAAGAGATTGCATGTAAATCATTCTGTGTATTGCTGTATTTTGTAGGCTTAATACTCCAACCAAAGTAACTTCTTAAATCGTGATTATTAACCGTCCATGCACGTAAATATAAGCATGATATAAAACGTGTTTTAGTAGTACCGGGCAACTTAATTTAAGTTTACTTTTTTCGTAGTAAAAAAAGTAAACACATGACAATCCCTTTAACAATCGGCCCTACAGACGTCAATCAAACACGAACGACGATACGATTGGCCGACAAACCATTACGTTTCTATAAATACAACGCTTGAGCCAATCCGCGTGTAGAGTCTAGAAAGTAGGCGGGATTAACAGTTGCCTTCCACTGTTGCTAGGTCCGCCTCTCCCCCGCTCTGGTGATGGCGGCGGTTTGATGCGCAAACGGAATAAAGACCCAGGGCAGAAGTGCACAGGAGTAGCACGTAAACAACTTCAATTTTACTAAAAACCGCAGTGCAAGCGTACCGGGAAATATAAGAAGAACACAGAAGACATTTCAGGGAACTCATAGATAAGGATATGAGAGGTTAACGGTCCCTAACGGCTGCGTAAAACCGAGCTCACGGGCGCATAATTTGAAAATGCATCTCAACGGAAAGAAACGGCTGCATTTCAACCGTAGCTTCGAACGCCGTGTTTGTTATTTCCCCATGCGACAAAATAAGAGCTTTTTCGCCCTTAAATGTGTCCAGTAATGAAATAAAAACACAACTTAAAAAATTCAAAGTTCGTTAGTGAAATCTGTGATGTATTTTGAGGGGCTTACCTGGGGGGGAAAGTGTGTAGAAGTGGAGAGTAATGTTTGGCTTGTCTCTTATTTTCTTCTTCGTTTCCACAATGGGGAAGCAGCGTCCAGCGGGAAAATGGCCGCCGCGTCAATCACATATCCCACAATGCAACAGTGTTGTCAACATTTCTGTTTAGTTTGGTCAGATTTTGATATACAAATAATAATAACAAATATCAGATTTACTTTATCGATCCTAAATTGGGGCATTTTTGTCGTTACAGCAGCATATAAAACAAGGCATTGCTCATATTAAGAAATTAAAAGGAGTAGAAAATAAACAACTATGTAAAGTGATGTGAAACCGTAGGAGATAGCATGGACAACTTGCTAAACACTACTAATAACAAGCTAAGGGAAGTGTAATTTCAAGATATTACAAGGAACTAACCTGGTACAACTTGTTAGAGAAAGATTCAAACTTAATATTCAAAGTAAGTGTGATTACATTAATTTACTTAATATGTTTCAATGTATTATTGAATTCCTGGGATGAAATAGCCAATTTTCTAAGAATAAAACAAGATAATATTGAACTAAATAGGCTATTTTTATTGTATTGCTTCAGTTGGGAGCAGATTGAATATATTACACTGTATGTAATTCAACTATTTATTGTTTATGGACAATACCATTTTCATATTAAAATGTAGTCAGTATCTACAGTAACTTGTTTGCACTTTATGACTGAATTTTTACAAAACATCTCCTTTTTTATCACGTTAAAAGCAAAAAAAGCTATTAAGCCCTTAAAGTGATTGAACTATTAGAATGTGATGCATAACATTTTAACATGGTTTAGTGTTTTCCTATGTCCAGTCAAATGGTGAGTATTTTAAAAGAAAACATCTACTTTACATAGGTGATCCTAAAAAAGGGACTTCTGATGATTAAGGTTCAACAAGAATTAACTTGAATGTCTTTTTGAATCATATTCACACAGACTCCAAGTTGTCTGTGACGGGGTTGAACTCCAAACAACTTTTTGTAAGAAGGAAACTCCTAGTAATTATTGGGATTGTATGCCTGAGGTGGGAAAATGTGTTTTCTCAAAAGTTTAAGTAGCCCTCTACCAGATGTTATGATAAAAAATGCAATATTTTAAGGTATTTTCTTAAAAAATGCGAAGACCCAAAATGCACCCGGTTCAGAGAATCACCCATATGTCTGCATACTGTATGGTTTCATCAGAATCAGAGACGGGTTTATTGCCAGGTAGGTTCACGCATACGAGGAATTTGGTGCATACATAAAATCTAAAACAAGAAAATCTAATATAAAGGTGGTGTAGAAGTTCACCATCATTGTCTTTGGCAGGTTGCATTTCTACACCTCTGTACATGAACATGTGTACAATAAAGAAATAAAATAGAATAATGAAGTTTGTTATGGTTATGTAATAGTTTTATTTTATTTACAAAAATGCTATTTTAGAAAAATGTAGGTTGTTTAGAGGTGATTTCAAAGTGCATAACATTCATGGGATACTGTTTAAATAATAATAACAAAGTGACTGTTTTTTTTTACCTCAACTACTTTATGCTATTTCCAAAAAGTTGGCAAGAATCATTTATTCGAAGAAAGATGCATGATAATTACACGTACTAATATTACTGAATTGCTGTAACCATCGTTCTAGGTAATGATTCATCTCCTTGCTTGAAAAATGACAGCTGCTGAAAGAGACGTGTTGTTTTTCAGCTCAAATATGATATTTCAAAGTAGATATTCACACAAAACAGTTTATTAACCACACAAATCTGTTTATTATGTTTGTATGTGAATTCCAGAGTACAAATATTTTGCTCTTAAAAATGCCTGAAAACATAAATCAAAAACACAGTAGAAAAAAAATAGGTTATATCAACCTGAGAGAGGAACAACAAGTCAAAACATTACCTGGACATAATAACGTGGCTGAAAATCAAAGTCTGATCACCATAGGTCTGCTACATATACGCCGCTTGCATTCTGCCAAAAATGCAGTGTCATCATAGCACAATGACGTTTTCTAATTGACAACCAGAATCAAACTATAGTTTTTTGAAACATTAAACACTAACAGTAGAAATACACCATTGTTGTAAAAAAGAAAGAAGAATCACTACTTTGACCACACATCTCTATTTAAAGTAAAGAAAAGCCCATTATATCAATTTAAATGTCTGTGTGAAGATGAAGATGTCTTAGCCTTGATGAGATCTCCTGTGCACATTTGATATCGCAAACTATTCTTGCCAAAACACCCGATGCATGGAGATAACAAACATTGATGTGATCTAGCTAGTTAGAAGTGAGGAGTGATGCAACGTTTTAAACAAACTTGAAGATATCTCGAAGGAAACTCGGCTACTAGTAGCACCAAAGAAGACATGATCACACATTTTACGGTTATCACAATCATATGATATATATATATAGGACCTCAAACCAAACTACCAACTAAGTATAGAGGGAGGAAAAGAGTGGTGACAGGGGACAAGAGGACAGCATATAACAAACCAGAAAACATTTTAGGCGCGCTCCCCGCGGATACGACGTGCCAGCTGGATGTCTTTGGGCATGATGGTGACACGTTTGGCGTGGATGGCGCACAGGTTGGTGTCCTCAAACAGACCCACCAGGTAGGCCTCGCTGGCCTCCTGCAGGGGGGGGGACAGGGATGTCAGTAGAGCAAAGATTATCGTTTAAATGATTGGTGCTGGTCTTTTGAAAGTGTATTATGGTTGATTTTCATCAGTCCCTGCAACTAAGGAATGGTACACAATGTGCGTTTTGTATAGTATACTAATTTGTTGCCCTACATATTAATATGTTAACTTGTTTAACATGAATTTGGGTCACAAGTTTGAGAAAAGTGAGTGAAGTGTATGATAGTAGTGCTGATATGGATAGACATGAATTTGTTCGACACTGTATATTTGTACGCCATTAATAGTGTTTTATAACACCGCTTTGTCTCTGGTTTAATATCCTCTCAATCATTAGCCAGTGGTCAAGTGTATGGATCTGGTTGTTTTTCTGACCTGCAGAGCTCCGATGGCAGCACTCTGGAAACGCAGATCGGTCTTGAAGTCCTGGGCGATTTCTCTCACCAGACGCTGGAAGGGCAGCTTGCGGATCAGCAGCTCAGTGGACTTCTGGTAACGACGGATCTCACGCAGAGCCACGGTACCGGGCCTGGAGAGCAGAGGAAAACATGTTCAAATGCACAATTTAAGGAGGGAGAAGCTGAGCTGCTTTTACAAAAAGTTATGTTATCCCTTCCGATTTTATCAGAACATATGAATCGTGTGCACTTTCATCTTCACCTTGCACCTCTGCAAATTGTTGAGTGGTATTGAGTGTTTGAACCCAAGTATCAGTCTTTCTCTACTAGTAGGAGTCTGAGTGAGAAAATAATCTATTTTTCCAAAATGTAATCCACATAACAATCTAAATACGGAATGATTGCCTATTGTGTTTTATGAGAAAGTTAATAAAAGTGAAATGTTAATAAAAACGGAAGTAAAATACATCCCTAAAGAGTTTATTTGGGGCTGAAGGAAAACTATTGGTGCCCATCTGTCAGTTGAGTTTTGGTTTATATCCACATATTGAACAAGGGGCATAAAACTGAAGCATTCTCTGTGTTTTCCAATCTTTCCAACACAATCAAAGGCACTGTATGGACTCTCACCTGTAACGATGGGGCTTCTTGACCCCACCAGTGGAGGGGGCGCTCTTACGGGCAGCCTTTGTGGCCAGCTGCTTACGGGGGGCTTTGCCTCCAGTGGACTTACGGGCGGTCTGCTTGGTACGGGCCATGGCTACTTAAGATCACCTGAGGGCACAGGACAAAGTTGGCTTTGGTAAATAAACTACAATGCATTTTTAAGGCACATGTGCAAAAGAATAGTGTGAAGGGGAGGGGATTTGAAGGATACAAATGTACTTTTCCAGTTTTATTTTTGATTGAATTAGAATTGTACATCTACTCATCAGCAAGAGCGGGATATAAAACCATACATCAGCAGCACAAGCGTCTATTTGTTGTATGTATTATATCCGAGACAGCTTATGTAATGAATGACGTCCGTAAAAAGGACAGCAATAGTGTCGAATCATGGTAGGCCTTCTTATCATGTGAACCAATCAGATTGTGTAAACAAGCCATGGAGGCGGGATATTTCAAATGTGTAGACCAATCATTTCATTTCAAATAAAAGTCGAACCAATCACAGCATGATGACGGCAAGAAACATCCCGCCCCTTGCGCAATGGACGTGGGTTTGTTCGATTCTTTACACTGCGCACCCCGGTAGCGCACAAGGCCTGATATTTTATTCAGAATGAGCTATAACGAGGGAAAACCAAGCGTTCCCGCCCGCGTCGGCTGCCCGCTGTCAGCAAACGAGCACACCTAAAGATGATGGCTGGCTGGCTGGCTAGAAGAATGTAAACGGGAAGGAAAAAAATCGTTGTACCAAACGAGGAAGGTGGTTATAAAAACGACGAAATTATATACAAACCGCGGCATTAAAGTGGAATATAGTTTTTGTAAAAGACAGTAGACATGTCAGGGGATCAATTGGTGAACAATATTTTGTCAGATGACCCCTCACTTTAGGCGCATTTCCGAGTCAAATTTGACCGAGATCACAAGTGCTTTTAAGGTCCCCCGAACAGGCAGATAATAAGCGACTGCTCTGCGTTTTCTTTTTCACCAAAAATAATGGAAAAAACACGTTCATCCGAAAAAGAACACAACATTAAATGAAAGATTGGACTTTTATCGAAATGATGAGACTTACCTTTGCAAACTTCGTGAAAGATAACAGGTCAAAAATGGGAATTTATTCTTGAGTCTCTAAAGCGTTGTTCTTCTCGCTATAAAATGAAGGGAGGAAAAAAAAGGAAAAAGAACATAGGAGAGCAACAGGAGACACATTTCCCATGATGCACCTGGGACAAACATATTACATACATGCTACAACATGGTAAACAGTTGCATGGTCACTTTCACATGCAATATCATGCAAAATGTTGTCTTTATTCCGATTTTTGACACTTTTGTTAGGTTATACTATTTGTTTTTTAATTGCATTTATTTTATTTAATATCAAAAACAACCAAAAACACTTTTAATATCAGAGAAACTGAATAGAAACAGAGTGGATTTCACTGTTGCAGACTTTTAAAACTATATTCACAGTTTTTTATTATGTAATTTGACACTTTTGTGAATTTATATTATTGTTTTTTATTAGATTTATTTTATTTGGAAAAAACAAGCAACCAGAGCACTTTTAATATCCGAGAAAACGAATATTATTAAAGTGGATTTCAGTCTTGCAGACCTTTTAAACGATATTCACAGTTTTTAAGGATATAGTATTATACACAATTGTAATTTAAAACATATACAACACTTGTGTTACTCTATTATCTCAGTGCAATGGAAAACTGTCTTTGTACTCACACAAAAATAAAAATATCATAGTGTTATAAAATGTGAAACAGATAAGAAATGTTTTGTTTACAAGGAGACAGCAAATGCAGTATTTACACTGCCAGTCCTGCAGGGGGCGCTCTTTCATTTTAAACACATTGCAGAAAACTACCCCGGTGCAGAGAAACATAAACAAGACAACACAACTATTATAACAAATTGAATTAGGACGACAATACGTCAATATTATAAAGTCACAATTAGTGAGAATACTTTATGTTTCCTTATGTTTGACAGTATTGTTACTTTTTTCACTCCAACATAATGTGGGGGGAATTGTTTTCATTTTAACTCCCACAACATGCTATTGTGCTGCAGTTGTGGAGAACTAAATCAATAACTCCCAGGCTCCAACGACAAACTATACATATAAGACATAACATATAAAAAAATGAAAAAATAGTGCCAATACAAACGTGTTACACTGACAACAACTACACGATAACTATGCAAAGGTTTAGCTTTTTGTTAAAAGTGGTGGGGAACATATTTAAACAGTCTAAACATTTGACACAATGTCATGTGGTGGATCGGTACAAGGTGAGATAATCGATGATAATAGATAATTACCAAGATTGGGGAAACTATGAATCATTTTTGTTAAACTGATCAGTGCATGGTGGTTTTATAACGAGTAAATACATTTTTGTTGAGCTTTTGGCAATGCACATTCATTCATTTTATATATTAATTTAGCATTTTATCTTTTCTTGTTGTGTAAATAAGCCTCAGTGAATAATTGTACACGAATTAGTTGTTTTTCAGAACATTTAAAACAAAACAAGCTTTGAAATAGTAGTGGGGACACAACAAAAAGTGGTGGGCACATGTTCCCAGCGACCCCAGTGTTAATAAAACCTATGTGCATACAGTATAACAAGAAAGCCTGTGATTCTTATGAATGGGTGTATAATACCCAAACACATTGGTCTTGCACTATTTTTATATGTATTTTTATTTGTTTTAATATTTTACAACTTATTTATATTTAGGTTGCATTGTTGGAGGAACCTGGGACTTCATATATTAATCACCATATCGATACTGTAGCTACTGTGCATATGGCAATAAACCCTTTAAATCTTTGAATAAAGGCATGGTAAATATATGGTAATTCCCTCTCTGTCCTGCAGGGGGCGCGCCTGCAGCGTCCCTCGCGCATATAAAAACCAAACACGTGACGTGTTTTCTTTCCACCATTCCTCCTCCAACATGGCGGCCAACAGGAGGATGAAACGCATGGCGTCCTCCCAGCCTGGTTTTATGAAGTTAAAGTCCGTTTCGGGCGGCGATAGCCTGGGCACCACTCGAAGAAAACGTTTGAACAAGAACAAGAAGAAGAACTGGAATAAAAACATCGACATCAACGATGTGGACGAGTTTCTGGAAGACATCCGACACCAGGAAAGAACCACAGGGTGAGTTCAGCCATGTGTCTGGAGAAACCACCGTGTGGTATTTACATGTAACAAATGTCGAATGTTAAACTTCATTAGAGGACATTTCGTCGGGTTTTAACCGTTTGTGACCAGATGTCTGACCGCCCCCCCCCCCCCTAAAACCGTGTACTGTGTTTACAGCAGTTAGCTAGCTAAGCGAGTCCTGTTTTTTGGTGTCTTGTTGTCACAAAAGAGTTGTTTTAAAAAAATAAAAATAACTTCAGTCATACATTACCACTATTGAAAAGTAGCTTATGACATAATTTACTCATGTACAATCTCGAAGTTAATTTTACTCCACTACATTTACTTGTACAATTGCAAAATGTCGCTTCTATATCTAATATATCACTAATGGAGGACATTTTTCTGCTCAATTACTACTACTGTTACTTGCGTGGCTCTTTTTCTGAGTAGAACAATCTCAGTAGTACTTCCCCCTTTTGTTAATTAGTTTACCATGTTACAAATAAAGTGAAATTCATGTCGACGGTATTTTTATTTATTTTTAAAAACACATTGTCCTGTTCACGATCCACAAATAAGGGTTAACAGGTTTTGTCTTTTGGTTCATTATGTCAATGACTTCAAGTCACGTTTTGTCTATACATTTCGTGCTAAAGATCTGTGCTGGTTGGTTAGCTTTGTGCAGCTCTTTTTGTTCAATGCTTTATCTGGATATCTTCAGTTTTTGGAAAATAGGCAATTATTTGTATATTATGTCTGTAATTGATGCATACATGATTGATTGGTAAAATGATATGGTCTCTGTTTTATAGAGGTTTGCTTTCGGAGAAGACGGACGAAAGTTTGTTCTTTTTGGATGTTGGACCGCCAAAGAAAGCTGAACGGAAAGGTGAATATATGTCCCTCGGGCCACGGTTGGGACGTGCAAATAGAAATCAGTGAGGTGGTAGTTTTCGCCCACATCCCAATATGCCTAATTCTGACTCAAATGATGATCTTTTCCCCTGGGCTGTAGTGGCACCTGTCGAGGTGAAGATGAGGAGAGGAAAGCCGGTGCGTCCTCTGAGGATCGACCTGATCCTGCAGCACGACTCCCTCGTTCCCGCACCTAAAGAGTCAGTATCAGCCGCTAAGCTCTGAGCTTTACCCTGCTTATGCAATCTCACTAATTGCAATTACTGTTGGTTTTATTCTTCAGAACTACTGGATAGCATGCACAACATACGTTTGGACCCTTTCTTTAGTCCATGTTCATACATATCAGAAAAACATTCTATGCTGCATTTCAAGTTTATGGAAAGCCATTAAGCTCATTCGTCCTAAAACACTTTTATCTACACAAAACTAATCACGATCAGTATCTGTGAAGACTCTATTATTATATTAACTCCTAAGCTACGTACTCCTGCCTGCCCCACACATACTGACCGCTCAGAGCTTGGAATGAATAACGATTTCTCATTTATCTCATCCAATAAAGTGGAGATTGAAAAAAGTATAAATTAAAAAAAAAGCCTTGCTCTTATTGTGTCCTGTGATGATCACATCCTTGCGCTCCCAGTATTTCCTTCATTGGGAATGTGAAGATAACTCATAGGAGCTCAGGAGACGGTTTTGTTAACGGTCTCCTGGGATCTGAGGACATGGAAACACACATTATGAAGTGTCACATCTCTCGTTACCTCGTTCCTTTACATCCTCCTGTCTCACATAATTATCTCTTCTGCCTTTACCCCCCAGTGTGCTATCCTACCAGCTACCTAATGCCAAAAAACTCCGCCGCATTGCCCAGAAGGCCGAGCATCTGGCAGCCAAAGGCATAGTGCCACGGAGGCAGAAAAAGCTGCTGAACCTACGGCCGGCCGGGAAGACAGAAAGCAAGGCAGTGACTGACGCCAACAACAACCCCGAGAGAGACTTCTACGACATATGGGCACCAGAGAGTGAGTTTTCTGTGTGTTTCCAGTGATGATCACATCCTTGCGCTCACAGTATTCCCTTCATGGGAATGTGAAGACAAACATGGAGTTCAGGTGATCGTTGTGTGAACGGTCATCTGAGGATACACATGTAGGAGTGTGTTAAGATTTAAAGTCCCTGCGAACTGATGGTGATCAAGTGAAAGCTTTTTTTATAGTTCCTATAGTTGGGGTTTGCAGTGCAAACCATGAGGCCCTATGTTACCGCCTGGAAAGTTAATATCTTCCTGGGAGCTTTACACACTCGCATGTTGATCACAGAGCTGTTGTCCGTGTCTTCACTGTGCATATATGATCTAATTTGGAAACTATTTTCTTTTCATTGTAGTAAAAAGTACAGCTGACCCGTGGTACCTTCAACAAACACGCAAATCGCGTGTCAAGGTGAGAAGTGTTTTGTTTTAGCAAAGACCTATTTAATAGCATTCGAGCAGAGCACTAGTATTTTATATTACACATGTAGTGGTTTGACTTCGACTAATGTGGTGTCATCACGGTTTTCCTCTCAGCGTCCAGAGAAGTTGAATGCCAAGCCGTCTGCGCTTCCTGCTGTGGAGGTGATCGCTCCTGGAGGATCTTACAACCCAGACTTCTTCTCCCATCAGGTTAGTGGCAACTCGACACGCTACAAAATGGCTCTGCGTCGACTTCAATTAGTCATTTAAAAAGCCTGAATTTCAGAGCAGGATTGCTCATATTTCTTTCTTGGGTTTGCACAACTCTTAACACGAACAAAGTCTAGTGGACTTCCTCGCACAGCAGACATGAAAATGAAGTGCGATGCCTTTTGACTGATGTCATGGTAACCGTAGATTAAGCCCGTAAAACAGGGAAACCGACTACTATCATAACTTCATGGAGTGAACCCTGAATGTGATGCTCATTTTCCGAACTTGCTCCTCGCCGAGAGAAGCTTGATTTGATAAGCAAAAGAAATGTTAAGGACATTCAGCTAAAAGCGATCATACCACTGAGAGGACAAAGAGCCAACAATTACTGCAGAATCTCTTAAATTGGACGACTCAATCAGGGTTCCCGCGGGGTCTTAAAAAGTCTTACATTTGATAATCTGAATTTAAGGCTTTAAAAAGGTCGTAAACATGATTCAGAAGGTCTTAAAAAAGATCGGATTTGAAAGGTACTTCTGTGTTGCGATGGCGTCTAAATGTGTTTTGGGGGAAATGTCCGGGCTGCAAAGTAACCAGTACGGTAAGAGCCTTTCAGTTCCCCCCCCCAACAATTTGTATTGAATTAAATCAACATGGAACCAGTAATCACTAACTTTGGCCCCTTATTGGAGAACACCCAGCTAGTAACCTAGCAACCAAACTGCACCTAGCGACCGTCAGAAACTCATGTATCTTCGAATCTACTTAAAAATTAATATGGGGAAGTGTAAGTGTTGCGACCTGGCTCAAAAGGCCACAACAAAAAGGAGACACAACATGTCAACGGGTAGGTAACGGTGTTTATTTGCACAACACTGGTCAATTCAACACATTGGTTATACTCATCAGAGCCGGGTGCCTGCAGGAAAACAGAGCGAGAGAGCAGACAGGAGCAGAGAGGCTTTGAAATAGCTGCAGAGCACCAGACCCAGGTGCCCTGAGTTACTGCAATCGGTGCAATCACTGGAGCCAATGCAGCACAGACAGAACAGCCACACCCTATCTACTGATGCACCCACAGGGGCATCACAGTAAGTTCAACCGTATTTGGTTGGAAAACATCTAATGCTTTTAGTGCTTGGTTGAAACCAGTGGAGGGAACGTGTTTGAAGCCCGCCACACCTTTTGAACCCTGTCAATGCAACCTGAGGTAAGAATAGGACAAGTAGGAACTCACAGGGGGTCCGCGGGGATCTTAAAAAGTATTAAAAGTTGATCAATTTAGCGAAAATGAAGGCTATTAAACGGCATTTTCCAAGGTATTACATTTTGTAGCTTGTCTTCAATAAGTATATAAATGGTCCAAAGAGGTTGTATTCTACAGTCTGCCTGAATGTAATCATGGCGTAGGTGTGTAGTGTGATTCTGTGTAGTTTATTGATGGCATCCCGTTGGGTTTGACGTCATCTGAACAGGACATCGCGCGCTCACTGCTTGATAGCGCGCGAAGGTCCGTTTACGCCGGTTGCTAAGCAACATCGTTATGGGGAAATGCAAGTCTGCGTCCAAATGGTTGGAAGATAAGGAGGAAGGACAATCAATACTGTATATAGGCAATGTGAGGTAAAGTGTGTCGCCAAGGTAACCGGTTAAAACTCGAAGTGGCGATGAGGTCTTAAAATGTATGGAAAGGGTCTTAAAAAAGGTCTTAAAATGAATTACATGTGACTTCAGGATTCCTGCATATACCCTTTAGTACCCAAAATGTATGAATCCTCCAATGTAAATAATAAAACAAGTGATGAGGCTTTTATTTCGTGCATATCTTTGGATGTGTTGCGTTTATCCAGCAACAAAGCAGTTTTTATTTTATTAAAATGTCAAAGTATAAAGTATGACCTGCACTAAATGCTAATCTCTTCCCTCACTATATGAACACAGGCCTTGCTGCAGGAAGCCCATGATGTGGAAGTGAAGAAACAAAAAGCGGAAGACAAGCTCGTGAGGCAGCTGGCGGTCAACAAAGATCACCTAGCAACAGAGGTGAAGATTATTATTGCTCATTCAACTTTCTTTTTGTTAGTGATCAGGAACTACGTCTGATTTGAGCCAACGTGTTTGTGTTCTGCAGGAGACGATCTTCAGAGAGCAGGTGGAAGGCCTGGTAGAACAGGAAGATGATCATGACGATGAAGAAGCAGGAGCTGATGATGATGGTGTGATAGTAGGAGCCATCGCACAGGCCTTGAAGAAGACGGAGAAAGAGAGGAGGAAAGAGAGGGCAGAGATACTGAAGGTACGTCAATTCAACCTTTATGTGAATATCAGTGGTGGCCATTATGAAAGTTATACACTTTGATGATGTGATGGCAGCTGTGCTTTTATTCAAACTGAATTTCTATGAATGATGTGGTTTGTATTCAGATTTTATTTTGGGTTCACTAGTTACAGCTTTTGAGCGGGAATCTAAAACATTTTAACGATCGTAAGCAAATTTATCAGCAATTATTGCATTTCAGGGTCTTCAGTAGGGATGGGTACCGAGCCCCGGGGCTGAATTATTAAAGACCGTGGTACCGTTAAGCTCCGACGTTAGTGGTCTTTTTATCGTCTTGATGTGGACAATGCTCGTTACCTAAAGTGCAATAAGAGTTTATCATGTAAGGGCGGTAACACGATTTGTCTAAACATTTATCAAAAGTGCTCCACATCCAGACGGAGGAATGCACCGGGTTCGACCGTCTTTCTAGCAGCTCTGTAGCCCCGTGCACGAGTAACGTGTCCACGTCAGGTGTTATGTATGCTAGCAGCAACACACAGAGTTAACTACATTATACAAACATGGGTTAATGATTAGAGGAAACTGAGTTATTTATTTTGTTAAAGTTTCAGCTATTCTGTTTACAGTTCTGTCATCAGATTATTTAATACGATTTGTTAAAACATTGTAGTTTCTTTTGATGTGAAATATTATGTATTTAATTTAAATAAAAAGCAATGTTAGTTTTGTTCACAATTTAGTTAGTTTACCTTATATATTTTTTTTCTCCAAAAGAACCGATAAGATTACCGTTAAAAGACCGGATCGATAAAAGTAGTAGTACCGTTAAAACCTTAACGATACCCATCCCTAGTCTTCAGTCTTTTAAGCAAATGTGGGGATTTCTTTAGTTTTGGTTGTCATGTGAAGGTAAGTTAAAACAACTTTTGGCTGTGTAATTGTGACGGGGGCATTTCACAAACTTTTTTTTGTTGGTAAAATCTCAATCAGAACTCCTTACGTCACAGCAGCAAGGTACACATACAAGGAAAGAGTAGACTTGCATATTAAATAAGTTAACCACACGTTGGTAAGAATATAAACAATTGCGTAAGAACAAAGTAATCCATGATATAAGTGAATATAAAAGTATTAAGGGAGCTGGTAAAGTTTATTCTATTAACTCCTGCCTGCCCCACACATACCGGCTGCACACAGTGGGTCATGGAAAAACCATTTTATACATTTCTCATCCAATAAAGAGGTTTTTTAAGAAAATATACATTTCAAAATCCGCCTTGCTTTTAGTGTGTGTCCTGTGATGATCACATCCTTGCGCTCCCAGTATTTCCTTCATTGGGAATGTGAAGATAACTCATAGGAGCTCAGGAGACGGTTTTGTTAACGGTCTCCTGGGATCTGAGGACGTGTAAACACACTAAGAGTAGACTTGAGTATTAAATAAGTTAACTACACGTTGGTAAGAATAAAAACAAAGTAATCATGATATAAATTAGAAGTATTAAGGGAGCTGGTAACTAGGGCTGTATTCGAATATTCGTTCGTTGGAGTACTTTCGGGTTTCAATTTCGTTGTTTGTTTTTTTCCAAATTGAATTTATTGAACTCTCCAATATCAACGTCAGAGCTTGTGCCTCTTCGGGGGGTGCTAACACTTAACCATAAACGTTATCGTTTACTTTCTCCGTCTTTATATGTAGATATTACTTTCCTCCCTTAATCTCCGTCACGTTGTTTCCATAGCAACAACAACTTCCTGTCAACAGCGCTACCTCTCCTTCAAAATAAAAGCATGTCCATAAATAGGAAGCCGAGCCAAATTACACCTAAGACATATACAACTGGACCATATAAACAAAACTCAAATGCCCAATCTGCATCAATGAACAGTCTTAGTTGCCCCCCTGGTTTATGGCTTTTTTGTTGCAGCTTTTAGCAACAACTCTCAAAAGGTTGCCACGTTGTTTCTGCTCCACTCACCATCTTCCCACTCCACCTGACTGTTCCTCTTCCCATTATAGGAGCAAAGTCGACAGGCCGACAAAGAGAAGACCTTCAGGCATCAGCAGCTCTTCCAGCTGCGCTCCATAAAGACCTCCATCAAACAGGACGAGGCGGGCACCAAAGTCAAACAGATTCAACGCAAAGCCAACCAGGAGGCCGAGAAATCTCAACCCAGACGCCTCGGCAAACTCAAGTACGCACCGAGCGCTCTCCTCACAGCTAAAACTTGTTACATTACATTTATATTGCGCTTTCATAATGTTGGGGGACTCGTAGGACCTCTGCACAAACTTTGAAAAATGTTCAAGTGGTGAAAATACCAGTTTGCCTTTGAGTGTATATGGAAGCATGCCAGAAATAGATTTAGTATGTCCTGACATGAGGCGCTTTCACGCCGGAGTACTTTTCCCAGTATAGTTCTTGAAAATGTGCGTTCACGCGAAAAAAAATCCAGAACTAGAACTTAGTTAATGAGAACCTTTGTAGTCCCTGCTAGAGAGCAGGTACTTTCCTGGGAGAAAAATATTCAATTTTCTGATTGGCTGGGCGGATTGCAAACCACGCCCCGTAAAACTCAGATTTTTTTTTTTACATACTGCCGTTTTATTTGCTGGCATTATTGGCATTAGCATTAGCATTAGCCCCGCGCACCAACGGAGAGAGAGAGACTAACTTATGGCAACACAAAAGAAAACATGGGAGCGGTGGAGCAATGAGGAGGTGTCGGCGATTTACTCTGAAGTAGGGATGCCAGCGATTATTCGATTAATCGTTACAGTCTCCATAATCGAATATTATTTTTAAAAATCGATTTTATTTATATATTTATGTTTTTTTTTTTTTTTTCTGGCTTAGTTTCAACCAAAATATAGACTAATGCTAATAATAGTAATAGTATTAACAATTGTAAATGGCCATTGGTCACACCACCAGTTTGTTTTACTGTAAACTTGGAGGAAGCCTGCGTGCAGAGCAGACTGCTGCTGCACACCGCCCCCACCCCCCCTCTCCCTCACACGTGCGACTAAAGATGAACAAAGCGGCAGGTAAAAAGAGTTCCTCCTCGTGGAACAATAGGCTAATTATTATTGAATGTATTTCAATGCTGCCATTATTAATACAGGCTACATGATGGTGGTTTATTGTTTGTTATTGTCTAAAGTGCCTGCCATTGCCTTTATTTGAAGATGCGCGATGCTATTATTAATAATACAGGGGGGGGGGGGGGGGGGGGGGTCGGTCGATTAATAGATTATTATTCTCTAGGGCTGCCGAATAATCGATTTTGATCATGGTCAGTTTCTGGCAACCCTACTCTGAAGCCAGTCCCCAACTCCGGGGACTTCGGGTGGCAGTATGCGCCGTGAAGTTGTTTGCGGCCTGCCAGTAAACCCACATTTGCCTAATCCTCCCTCAGGGACTTATTCTGGTGTGAACGCGATCTGCTCTTTAGTTCATCAGAAGAGTTGATCTAAGTACGGCAAAGTACTTGGTGTGAAAGCGCCAATGTATGTGAAATAAATACCAGGATAGTAAGATGGATGTATGCCAGCATGCTTTTCTGGCTTATCAGGGGATATATTAGCCAGTGGTGCAATGTTATGACAAATTAGTGTCCCACTTGTATGCAAACTGGAATACTTAAGATGGAAGGGTTGCACATTTCCAATAATGCAAACAAACGACACAAATGGCAACCTCTTTCCAGCCCGAGCTCAATCTCAGATGACCCTGATTGCATTTCTCAGATTTTAGGCAACAAGATCTCTCTACTTGGGGCTGTTGCTCTGCCTTTAGCTCAGGTTTCAATTGTCCTGCTGTAGGATCAGCTAACACCACTAGAGGTCATCATGTCTGAGGTTAACATGAAACCTTCGTCATATGTGTATGAAGGGGAAATCAACACATCTACAATAGGAAGACTCTTTGAAAGAGGGCTGTTTTCCCCCAAATCTTTGTGATAAATGTCCAATGGGATGTTTTATAAATCAAATCAAGTTTTATTGATATAGCACATTTATAAACGATTTTTGGTCGAGCCAAAGTGCTGTACATATAATAAAAATAGCCTACCTAAAACCTTACTGCAACATTAAAACTGTATTTTAAGATTTAATGACAAAAGTATCAATTGTTAAGGACTTTGTGCCCAATGTTTTGATGCCCCTGCAAGTTCCAGTTTGGCCCAAGATCACATGTCAAGATATCCAAAACTGCCGCATTGTTGTTTTTAATTACTATAATGTATTTTACATTCTCCAATAATGTTGTCTGTAAATGCAATATGCATATGTGATTGCATCCTCCAGTGCCCTTTCAACACACTTGTATAATTATGTGGCTTGATTTAGTTGCATTCACTCAACGGTAGTTAATGTTTTGTTTTTTTGCAGGTTTCAGGCTCAGGACCTGGAGGTCCAGCTGAGTGACGAGCTGGCCGGCTCCCTGCGACAACTCAAGGTACTTCACTTGTTGTGTTTAATGTTCACGAGCTTATCCCCTGTCAGTGAGGACACGAGTCTTTTATCTGTAATGAGTTTTGCTTCATTTACTCGGTGCATTGTCTTCTAAGCTTGATCCTGTTCTCTAATACTGCCACTTCCCCCCCGGGCGTCATTACGTTTCATGTGTGATCTAATTGCCGGTGGACAATTCCCTGCTTCCCCCTCTTATCTCCTGCCCTTATGGCTCGAGTAAAACTCAAAGCAGCCTTTGTGATGTGAACGGGATTTTATATTGGGTGGGAATTGTGCAGAGTGATATTTGTCTCATGGATTTCTCTGGGCTTTTCTCCCCCCCCCTGTAATGCTGGTACTCTGCAGCCAGAGGGCAGCGTCCTCAAGGATCGCTTCAAGAGCATGCAGAAGAGGAACCTGATCGAACCCAGAGAAAGAGCCAAGTAAGGACCTCTTGCGTAACGTCTCCTCAAAGCCTCTCAGTGATTTACAGATTAAAACGTTGTCTGTTTATTAATGTTTCTACTCTACCCTCCCCCATCTCTTAGGTTCAAGAGGAGACTCAAAGTGAAGTATCAGGAGAAGAGGGCTTTTAGAGAGATCACTTAAATGCCGACCCTCAAACCACAGGAGCTGAACTCAAGAGGCTGGGCAGCGTTTTAAAGCCACAAAGACATCCTAATGGAACGGTGTACATACGACTGAATCAGGGGCCCGTTTGACCCTTTCAGACAATTCCAACTGCTAACAATTTAATATGGAAAATCAATGATACGTGAAAAAAATATGAAAGTGTTGGATGTAAGTGTAGTGCATTTGCTCTACTGGTTTCATGTTTTAATATATCTTTTCACACATGTTGTCTCATTGAGTTATTTAAAGGAGCTCTGTGACATGTCTCCATGCTTTAATGTTCACAAAGCTCTTTTTCTCATACTGCCTGTGCTGCAGCACCTCTTTACACCCTCTGTCTGAAACCAGAGCCCAGTCTGCTCTGATTGGTTAGCTGGCCGGCTCTGCTGTGATTGGTCAGCAGCTTAGAGATGGAGTTTAACCATTGCAGACCATTTACATGCACAAAAACGTACATTGTAGGAAAAGGAAAACGCAAGGTAATTTTTCTGTCATCATCAAACTCCACCTCCTTGTGGCACTTCAAAAAATGGTGATGGCCAAACTGTTAGACCCCTTAAACCTAATCTCTACTCAAGGTATATGTTAACATAATAGGGGCCACTTTAATATGACTATCAGGTTTTCTAGAACACAGCTCAGACCGTGTGTCACTACTTTGCTCTCATCTATCAACAACTTTATTAATCCTGCAAGGGGCAATTGGTTATGAGCAGCAGCTTATGTCATGTACACAGGAAGAAAACACACCCGGGAGCACAGATGTGGATCATTCCAATTTACACAATAAATAGTTCATTGTATCACAATAATAAATCAAGTTAAAAGCCTTTCAAGAATGTGTTGAGTGCAGAAAGGATGAATGATGTGTTTGCTCTCTGTTATTAATCCGTCTGAGTTGCAACTAACAGCTTGAGTGAGTAACTCGGTCAGACGTGACATGTTATCATCGCCTGCAGGGATTGGTCATGTCTAAGACTGCGATCAGTATCCCTGATGGTTTTTCACAGGCCCTTGAAAATCTTTGAAAAATACAAATTTGATGGAAACAAATCAAAGCCTGATGTGTTTGAAAATAGTTTTGTTTTTTTCGTGGGACATTTTAAAAGTGCCTGCATTTATATGTTGTGCAGGACTTGTAAGCATTTTACAAACGTATATGCTGTGTTAGAGAAGGCAAGGGATTGCATTACTTCAGCCATCAATCGAACGTAGCACCGTAAGTCTTTACACATTTAAAAGTCTCGCTTTTTAATTGTCAGGTTTGCAACAAGAGATAACTTTGGGCCAAATCTGAAACTAGGTTGTGTTGGGTCTTGATTTTTACAACATTGGTCTTGAAAAATGCCATTAAAGGTTGTATTGTGCCCTGCATCAATCAGGTGTTGTCATAAATCATTCAAGACCTGTCCAGCAGTCTCTGTTATAAGCTGCCGTGACACTGAAGCAGGTGCAGCAAAAAGGGTTCGACAGTGATTACAAAGTTAAGAGCAGAAGCGACAAATGTATGCATTTTTAATCCTCGTAATGAGATTACTTGATTAAATGGAGATAATTGAAGTAGATTAATGCATTTGTTCTTAGGTGAACAAAATGAAACCCCAGACAGATGGGCTTGAGGAAGTTGGCATGTGATAATTGATTCCAACCCGCTGGCTTCAAACCATAATTGCCTTCAGTGTCATGCTGGTGTGAACAAGGACGTGCACTCACACACACATGCACACACTCTCTCTCCCATGGTGCCTGGAGCTACGCCAAAGCCTCTTATCCCTTAATCAGTGTGAAAATGTAATCTTTACCTTCAGAATCCTGCAGAAGCCCCCCACCTCTAATTTCAGCCGCTTATCAACGCCTTCGTGCCAACTACCTGCCGATGAATTAACCTGCAGACTCATAAAGCCACAGTTTGGCCCCGAGGACCCTCCTTCATTAATTGTCTAATTATAGGATTTGCCGCAAAATGCCCTATAGAGTCGTTGATGAGGCTAATGTGAATTATTTACATTCACCACCACGTGTGTAGGCCTATATATGTGTATCATACACATATATATATATACATACACACATATATATATACATACAGTGTATGTATATATATATGTTTATATATGTGTGTATGTGTATATATCTCGCCATTGATTGAAACTCTAACAAAAACGACCCTATCAATGCACACTTGGAGGAAATGTACATTCTTGTTGTGCGTGTCTAACCCCCTTACCGACTTTAAATGTGTTTTACTTTGATGTTTTATTGATGAAGCTGATTCTTTTTATACATGTACCGCTCCACTTCTTTATCCATGCACAACGGGCCTGTACATGAAGTCATATCCACAACATATGAGGATTTTAGGCAACTGAAAGTCTATGGGACACTAAAAAAAGAGTTAAATGCAGTATGATAAAGCCTTTTTGAGACTGTACATTGCTAACATTACAGTGAGTATACTTTGATATTGTTAGTAGTTCGACAGAGGTAGTGAGAACTTCTTCAAATGGAAAGGTTGTTGGTTCAATCACAGCCCTTGAAGTCAACATGTTGATATGTTCTCTGGCAAGATACTAAACCCCAAGTTGATCCCGATGACCAAAGGTGTGTGTGTGTGTGTGTGTGTGTGTGTGGATTTTAGCTTCCCATAGCTACATTGCATGCATGGTAGCCCCTGCCTCTGTATGCTGACTTGTTTGCAAAGCTTTTGAGGAGACGTAAAAGAGTACGCTATATAAATGAAGTCCATTTATTGTTTAGTATTATTGGCATACTTACAATATTTACTATTGGCACAAAAAAGTTCGCTTATGGCAGTAAGCCTATGTTTCAGATATTTGTTGTTAAATCTTGAAATGATAATGGCACCAAAAAGACAAAGGGAAAAATGTATATGAAACAAACACCATGAAAATGTATTGCGTCGTTTTACCCAAAACCACAGACGTCAACATGATGGTGTTGCTTTAACAAAAGTGACTTTGATTCATCCTCTGTGGACCACGAATGTCTGTGCGAGAAATCAACCCAAAAGCAGTTGAGATATTTCTGTCTTCACCGGAGTTGTGGACAGAACAATTGGATAGATATTGTATTGTTTGTAGGAGCAGGGAATTTGTGTTGTATAAAAACAGTATACAGAAAGATTTATGTGGTTTCTTGTCGACCTAATGGGGAAGAAAACCCACTATGATTCATCCTCTGTGGACCATGAATGTCAGTTGGAAGTTAAAGAGTAATCCATCCAATAGTTGTTGAGATATTCTAGTCTGGATCAGAGGGATGGGCCGAACATTCATTCTAATATTGTATAATTTAAAGAGCAGGAAATGGTCGTTTTAGCTCAAAATGAGATGTGGTCTCTTGCACGCTAATGCCATGACGGTGGCAGATTGCAGCAAGTTTTATTTTGTTCTCATTCTTTCATCTGTTAGCCAACGTGTTGCCAGATTGTCTCTGCATGGGGTAGGGAGTATTACATTTGTTGTCGTGCAGTCGCTCCTTACCTCCTTAAGAATAGATTGCTCCTCCTGGGTGTGTGTGTGTGTGTGTGTGTGTGTGTGTGTGTGTGTGTGTGTGTGTGTGTGTGTGTGTGTGTGTGTGTGTGTGTGTGTGTGTGTGTGTGTGTGTGTGTGTGTGTGTGTGTGTGTGTGTGTGTGTGTGTGTGTGTGTGTGTGTGTGTGTGTGCGTGTGAAGCTTGTTTGACACGCAATGTGGCCTGGCTGGCGTTATACTGTAGTTTTGCGCAGGTAGAGTCATGTGAACACAATGAAGTGCTTGCCTTTTATTTTTACACTTTGCAAACCATTTAAAGAGGCCCTATTATGCTTTTTGGGGTTTCCCCTCTCCTGTAGTGTTATAGGTTTTGTCCATGTAAATGGTCTGCAAAGGCTCAAATCTCTCCCACATACTCCATCCTATTGGCCTTATTCAGTCATTATATTGTGTCCAAATGCTTAATCGCTGATTGTTTTTAATATCATCGCAAACTGTTTATTTTCTTAAAACATTTGCTAAACATTGTCCAAAAACAGAGCTTTCCCCAAAATGTCAACAACATATTATGTCATTCAGGTTTAATTAAAGGTGGGGTAGGTAAGTTTGAGAAACCGGCTAGAGATACACTTTTTGTTATATTCCATGGAATGCTCTTAACATCCCGATAGCAATGAATATCTGAAGTGCTTTGACAAAAAATCCATAAAATCATCATCTGTGGAAGCCGTGGCGCTGTAAAAAGCACGACCAATCATCTGAGCCGGCCCGGCTAAAGTAACTGGATGGCCTACCTGCCTGTCAGCCTTCCATCTGGGCACAAACTTATCTCGTGCCCTCATTGGTCATGTGCGCGTTGATTGATTGATTGATTGATTGAAAAGTTTATTAACAGCTTGTATATTGGGTACAGTACAGTACAGCTCAAAACATACAATTGTTAAGGGGATGCAGACCAGAGAAAGACTTTCGTCTTGTTTACATCAGGGTCCCCCATTTCCAATTCATCATGTCATTTAAGACATATAAGACATATTTGACATACAGATGGCTTATTTACAATTTTCATTTTAGATTTCGTTCTAACTTCTAATACATCCTAACCGGACATTTAAGACATACCAAGTCTACAGATATACAGTTAGTAACAGAGTCTAAAATGCGAGTATATACATAGATGGGGGGGGGGGGAAGCTGTCCATTGAACGACAGGTTGAGATTTGTACCATTACCGGGGCCAGTTTTGCAATGCTCTCCCCCGAAGGTGCCTTGACCTTTGGGAAGAATGTTGACATGTACATGGGTACCATAGAGGTGTAGTGGATCTTGTAGACCAGGCCCATTGCAAGTAGCTGTACTTTGTCGTCTACTCTAAGCCATCCTAGGTTGTCAAAGTGGGCAGAGGTGAGGTGGGTTCTAGATGAAAGGTCAAGCAGTAGTCTGACCAGTTTATTTTGCGATATTTGAAGTTTTATTTTTAGCGCCTTGGAGGTGCTATGGTACCATGACGTGCAAGCATAGTCATAGTACCCTTGAATGAGTGCTCCTGCCAGAGTTTTCAGGGTGTTTTTGTTTACCAGAGAGGAGATCCGGTATAGGAATCTAGTTCTTTGATTGACTTTTTTTATTACATTGGATGC